CTTGTTTTTTAATGCAGCATAGTATTCCATTGTGCGAATATACCACAGCTTCTCTAGCCATTCGTTTGTTGATGGGCACTTAGATTATTTTAATGTTTTTATTTTTAAAATTAGTATGTTTCTAATACTTGGGAATTTAATGATGATTCCTTTGCCTAAGTAGAAATAGAGAATGGTAGACTTTAAACACAAAAATCTCAGTTATTAGTAAATGCTTTCATTTCATTCTATCAAAATAAAATCTAAGACAGGGAGAGAGACTTCAACAGAAAAATCACTCACACCAGAACAAATAGGATTTATGTTACCCTGATTTTATCTTACAGATGATTTCATCATTAATTTCTGAACTCAGAGAGAATCACCTTAATGGATTTAATACTCAAAGACGGTAAGAGTTAACCTAATATTCCCTCTTATCAAATTTCAAAATCTATCAACTCAGATTTCAGAGAAAAATTTAATATTTCCTAGAAACTACGTGTTTGTAGTCCTAATTATATTCTATGTGAAGAAGCTACTGATTAGATGGTAGATTGCTGAGTTTTTATGAAACCAATTTTTAAAAAAAAATCACTGTCCTCTAAACTTTCAAGTAACAGTAGGCTGAACAGTGTCCGCTGAACACCTAAAAGTACAGTATGGCAGCTTGCAGGGCAAGTCGTACATCAATTGGGGGCCACTCTCTGAAGGAGGAAGCCAGGCTTGCCAGGAAGGGGTATGGAATAAACGTGTGCATAAGGGAGTAGTATAACTATATGGCAGTTGTATTTGGGAGTTTGAATTGCATGTGAGTGTGGAGGTTGAATGTGTAGGGAGAGGTGACTGAGTGTGTGAAGTTGGCAGAAGTGGGTGTGTGGAGGCAGCATGAGAGTTTGTGTCGGTTGCAGAAATGTTTAAAGTTGGCACAAGTGTGAGTGTGGAGGTGTTGTATATGTGAGTGGAGATTGTGTAAGTGTGTGGAGGTGGTGTGAGTGTGTGCATAGTGTGGAAGGTGGAGTATGTGTGTTGAAGTAGAGGGTGTATGAGGAAGTAGTGTGAGAGTGTGGTCTATGTGTGGAGGTGGTGTGAGTGCATGTGAGATGTGATATGAGAGAGTGTGTGGAGGTGGAGTGAGTGTAGACATTACATGTATATGTGAAAGTGGCATGACTGGAGTTGGAGAGTGTGTGTGTAAGTGGTATGTATTTGTGTGGAGGATGTGTGTGTGTGAAAGTAGAGTGTATGGAACTGCTTTGTGTGTATGTGAATGTGTGTGTAAGTCGTGTTTATTTGTGTGAAGATGGTATGAGTGTGTGGAGGTGGAGTGAGTGTAGACATTACATGTATATGTGAAAGTGGCATGACTGGAGTTGGAGAGTGTGTGTGTAAGTGGTATGTATTTGTGTGGAGGATGTGTGTGTGTGAAAGTAGAGTGTATGGAACTGCTTTGTGTGTATGTGAATGTGTGTGTAAGTCGTGTTTATTTGTGTGAAGATGGTATGAGTGTGTGGAGGTGGAGTGTGTGTGGAAGTAGAACGTGTGTGCAGAAGTAGCGTGAGAGTGTATGGCTGTGGTGTATGTGTGGAGGTGACATGAATACATGTGTGGATGTGATGTGAGAGAGTGTGGAGGTAGAGTGGGTGTGTAGACATGACGCGTGTCTAAAGGGAAATTGTCAAGTTTATTTTGAGAAGCAAGCAACCCCAAATAAGCAAAACACTTCTAAAAAAAAAAAATGAAGTGGGAAGCATGGCACTCCCTGACCTCAAAACACAGCAGTAGTAACCAAAACATCATGGTACTGGTGCAATGACAGGCACATAGACGAATGGAAAAGAATTGAGAACCCAGAAATAGACCCACCTGTTTATGCTCAACTGAAATTCAACAAGGAAATAATACCTTTCAAATGGGGAAATGACAACTTCTTCAACAAATGGTGCTGGCAGAACTAGACTACTACCTGCAGAAAGCTGAAACAGGATCCACATCTCACATCATACAAAAAAAAATCAACTTAAGTTGGTTCAGAAATCTGAGAATAAAGCCCAAAACCATAAAGTTCATAAGAGACAAACTAGAATCAAGCTTAGAAGGCCTAGTCTACAGTATAAAGAGACTGCCAAATACAGCCAGAAATGCATAATCTGAAAGGTATAAAATTGATGGATGGGACTTTCTAAAGATTAAATCTCTGTACACATCAAAACCTTTTTCTGTCAGGGTGAAAAGAAAACCTACCAACTGGGAACAAACATTTGGTAATACCATCTCACATAAGAGTCTCATAATAAAAGTTTATATAATACTTCTGGGCCTCCAGAAGAAAAAGACGCAACCACAAAATGGACAAAAGACATGCAAAGAATTTTCACAGAGGAAGATGCTCAAATGGCCAGTCCTGTTTTATAACAGTGGTGCTATGCAGTATTTTTCCTTTTGTGACTGAGATATTTCAGTCAGCATAATGTCCTCCAGGATCACACATGCTGTGTAATATTTTATGATTTTCTTGGTTTTTCAGTGCAATGCATACATTTTAGGAAAATTCAGTCTTTGAACTGTGTTCATTTACCCTCAGACTGAATTTTAAAAATCACTTAATACTCAAATGCTTTTTAAGGTTTTTTAATGGACTTTTAAAATGTTCCTTACAAACTTCAGGAGGTTTTTTTTTGTTGGTTATTCATAAAGAAACTGGGGACCGTGGGAGATGTTTTGGATTCCAATTTTCTGGGAAATTATAAATTCAACCAATTATATTTTGCTGAGTGGAATTTGATTTCATGACATTAGTTAGTGGAACAGCATCACAGGTTTAAAAGACAAGTGGCCAACATACAAGAGCCATTTGACCTACTGTAGTGACTAGTTATAATAATAGTTAAATAATAAGGATCAGTTATGGGTTGCGTTCAGCTTATGGTAACAACAACAACAACGCCCTCCAACAGCAGCTGTAAGGTTATTTGTACATGTATATGTTATTTTTTAACATTTACTAAATTGAAAAATTTGAGTGAGGTTATTCTGTGCTTTAAAGACTACTTTCTAGTTAGTATATATTTGAATCTAAGATATTGACTTTGTTAAGAACCCAAGTTTTAATCATTACTTTCCTTCCACTAGTTGTTGATGTTGTTTTTGTTGTTGTTATGTGCCATTGAGCCACCTGTGACCCTATGTACAGCAGCTTTGAACCCTGCCTTATCCTGATCCAGTCTTACTAATTCCAACACACCAACTCCCACTTTCCCAGTTACTGTATCAATCCATCTCATCTGGGGTCTTCCTCTCCTCCACTCTCCGTCTAGCCTTTCAAGCATGATGTCCTTCTTGAAGGATCAGACTCTCCTGGCCACGTTCCCAAAGTCTGTGTTGTTGTTGTTATGTTATGTTATGTGCCGTCGAGTTGTTTGCGACTCATAGCGACCCTATGCACAACAGCCCTAAACCCTGCTCTATCCTGTGCCAACCACACTGCCTCTGACAC